TCGTCCAAGTTATCACAGTAAATTTTGGCGTGTACGACAACTATTTAATTATCCCGGATGCATCATCGGCATTAGAGATCATCGTATTAAACCAACTTATGAATTTCTTGTTATGTCGTATCAACAACCACTTGTCATTTATTCGAGGATATTTTTTCTTTATAATTGTTTTGTGGATAGCTATGTAAGGTTCAACTACACTAAGATTATTCAATATATATAAATGTGCTTCAAGTACTACATCCCGATCCATGGACTTAACATTTAAACCTTGAGTACCTCTACCTTCCAATCTGTCATCATGACGAGACTTTGGAATTCCAATAGACTATGTTTTCGAAAAATATTTTGAGAAAAACTCAACAAATTCTTTTGTGATGTACCTTTCATTGATCAAAGTTTTTGGTCGGTCGTGATTATTCGTATATATTTTAAATATCTTTATGTATAGCTTTATAGGATACATCCACCTGAAATAAACTGGACCACAAAATCTGATTTCTCTAACTAGATGAACAAGTAAGTGAACCATAATCTCAAAAAATGATGGAGGAAAATACATCTCCAATTGACACAATATTACTCCAGCCTCATCATGTAATTTTACTAATTTTTTGAAATCAATAACTTTATTACATATAGCATTGAATAATAAGCATAATCTGGTTATAAATACTCTTACATTTTTTGGAATGATGCCACAAATAGACACAGGTAGAAGTTGTTGCATCAAGACATAAAAATAATGAGATTTTAAGCCAATTGACTCGAGATCTTTCATTGATACATGTTTCTTGATGTTTAAAGAGTAACCTTGGGAAACTATGATTCCATGCAAACATTCGCAAAAACGTTTCTTTTCCTTTTTATATAGAGTGTGACATGCTGGAGGCAAGTAAGATCTTTTTCCTCTATCTTCTGAATTCAACTGTTGTTGTATACCCATCTTCGCCATATCTAAAAGGGAATTCTTATTATCTTTAGTCTTGCCTGGAATGTTTATAAGTGTTCCTATTAAAGAATAGTATGAAAGATCAAAGAACACCGATCTCTTTTTCCAAATATTTCTCTCAACTAAACCATCTTAATTCTTTCCAAAAACAATAGTAAGGGGTTCTTGTCGTTGATAAACGTCATCGCCAGGTAAAGGTTTAAGAGCATTTTCAAACTCCAGCTCTCTGTTAAAAGCCTTCCACATTATACGATAATGATGATTAGGTTTTATAAATTTCTGATTCCCAAGGTAAATAGTCTTTTTCCCAAACTCAAGCTGGTAAAAACAAGTATTAGATTCACATATAGGACACGTTTGATGTCTTTTGACATTGTATCCAGCCAAATTACCATATGGAGGAAAGTCGTTGATTATGCAAAATAATATTGCACGTATTCAAACTTTCCCTAGAATATAAATCATCAACATCAACACCTTTATCTCACAAAAGTTTTAAATCCTCATGGACTTAGATACATATTTGTCATTTTCAGGTTGCCTTGGTTCAGAAATAATCATACTTAACATCATATACTTGCGCTTCATGCTAAACCAAGGAGATAAATTGTAAATCGTGAGAAGAACAAGCCATGAAGAATGGTTAATACTCAGATAACCAAAGGGGTTCATTTCATTTGTGGCAAGCCCAAGCTCAAGGTTTCTTGGCTCAAAGCCAAAATCCAGAAAAAATGAATCAATTTTCTTCCATTACAAAGAATCAGCTACGTGGCGAATGTTTTCATCACATTTTTTTATCTCCATGTCATATAAAATTCTTTGTGTCATTCGCATTAGTAAAAAGTATCTTGAACCTTGAAATTATTGACAAGTACCATAACACTTTAGCAGGAGGACACTTCTTACTAACATTGTCATCACCATTGTTGTTGTTCAACTTGTAGCATGACTCACCATATTCTGAACATTGATCCAAATTTTCATATTGTTTCCTATATAATATGCAATCATTAAGGCATGCATGTATTTTGGCATATTCATAACCCATTGGACACAATATCTTCTTGGCCTCATAACAACTACCCGACAAATTATTATCTTCTGGTAGCATTTATTTCAATAAATCAAGCAATTTTGTGTAACTTTTATCTAACCACCCACCTTTTGCCTTCAGATTTAACAATTTTAACAACACAGACAATTGGGTAAAACTGGTGCACCCCTTATATAAAGGCGCATCTTTGTCGCTACGTAAAGTATCATAAATATGGGCTTTTATATAAAATGAATCTCCAATATCACATATCATATATTCTAGTCGATCATCCATATATTCATCATTTTTATCCATTTCTGACGTCACAATTCGATTATTTCCACTTATCCTTACCACGTCTATGTTGTATAATTTTGACATGTTCCATCACAATATAGGTGATGTAATACTTCTTTCTTTGACCATTTATTGATATTCCTGCAAACAACACAAGGACAATAAAAGATATTATTATTGTCGGAAACAGTTTTTTTGGAGAATTCAAGGAATTCAGGAACTCATTTCTCATACACCGAGCCTAATCTATCAACTTTCATCCAATTGCGATCTATAACAAATTCTAAAATTTATATAAAAAAACTAATGTGAATGACACACTAATGCTATACATATAACATCCTAATATGATTATATGCATATGCATATCCAACACCAAAACCTAAAACATATTCACAAAATCTGAATAAAACATGAACATGGCAACATAAATAGTACACATGACAATGCCAATTCGGAAACCGATGATTCATGAAATGCAACAAAAGTCAGCATCATTTATGTGTTAAAAAAATAAACTACTAACCCCAGCAAAGAACATAAACATTCAGAAGCGTCAGAGAGAGAGAGTTGATAACATGTCGTAATTCGAAGAGGATGGTGATTTCGTTTCCAGAAATAATATTCGATTTTAGAAATGAATGAAGATGGTGAAGATTTTGCTATTGTTGTCGTCTTGTTCGTTAGGGCATCCTTGTGTTGTGTATTATGAACGAAATAAATTACATGTTATGTTTTAATTTTGTGAGAAAGAATTTCACAACGATTGCAAGTTTCAACCGTTTTGAAATATGGAACATATAACTAGGTTGAATGAAACAACCGTAGTTGTTATACTTTCAATTTTTAAATAACAATAAATATGAAGGGACACACGCTTATTTTTATTGAAAAAAATAGAAAAATATTAATATTAAGATTTGAAACTTGTCATCCAAACTCTATGACCACAATTCTTTTTAGAAACCGTAATGAAAAATTTCTTAATAAAAAAATACGCGTAAAAAATGATATATGACTACGATGACTAAATAATTTTAGTAATATAATGTCACCAAAAATATATTTTATAATAATAACTATAACATTATATTTATACGTTGCAAGTTCTCATATATCATTTAACAAGTATAAGTCTTTAGTTTCAAAGAACAGATTCTTATCTACTATTTATTAGTAAGATATGGATATACATTTTAAAAAATAATAATGTTTATGGATTTTCTAAAATTATTTATTTAATTTTTAGTATATTTTGTTAACTTGTATAATTTAGAAATAATATAAAGAATTTAATATAAAATAATTTTATATCGTAAATTAATATAGACGTTAGATTTTTAAAAAAAAATTGACTTGTATTTTAATCACATTTAAAATATTACAAACGGATGATGATGATAAATTAACGTATACAATTTTTTATATTGACAATATAAAATAATTAATCTCTAATATAAAATATTCAAAATAAATAATTTATTGTTTTACAGAAGAAAATTTTGTCATTTAAATATGATCTATATTATACCATACCATATTAAAAATGTAATATAATAAAACAATATTATCTTATTTATTATTATGTACATAAACACATAATAGGACAAGCATTTATATTTTACATTTTTTATGTTGTCTCTATCCAACGTTATAAATTAACACAATAAAAAGTTATTTCATCACAAAGAATTGTCTATTTTTTATGTTCAATTACACAACTGATTTCCCAATACAAGTAAACGACTTATCTAAGAAGCAATCAACTTCTTCATATTTCAACTTGTGTGGAAGTTTATGTATATTTCAGATCATAGGGAGTACACGTTACTTATTAGTAATATTTGGTCAATTTGTGATCCCTAATTTTATGAAATATATTTATTATTATTAATTTTTATAAACGACAATATTTTTATATTTGTTGAATAATTTATCAATATAAAATAATAATTAATTAGTAATCACAATTTTACTTAAATAAAAAACTTATAATATTTCTTATTTACTTTAATATTACATTTTTCAAATTTGTAAATAAAAATACAACAAAATTAAGGTAAGTTATTAGATATATAGATTAAATACATTCTGTTTTTATTAAATAAGGAATGTATCACCTTTGTTCATTGTATGGACAAATATTTAGTATGGTTAGTGAATTGAATAAGCAATTATTTTACTCTTGTTTGTAAAAACCGCCCAATTCAATTGATCATCTCATCTCTGGCTTATATTTAAATACAAACGCTTAACATCAAACTCATCACAGTTCAAATCAAAGAAATCATAATGGAAGGAATAGAACACAGAACAGTTGAAGTTAATGGAATCAAAATGCATATCGCTGAGAAAGGCAAAGAAGGACCGGTTGTTTTGTTCCTTCACGGCTTCCCTGAACTCTGGTACTCATGGCGCCACCAGATTGCTGCTATTGGTTCTCTCGGTTACCGCGCGGTGGCTCCTGACCTCCGTGGCTACGGAGACACCGATGCTCCCTCTTCGATTAACAGCTATACAATCTTCCATTTGGTGGGAGACATAGTTGCTCTCATCGATTTTCTCGGTGTTGAACAAGTGTTCCTCGTGGCTCATGATTGGGGTGCTCTCGTTGGATGGTATTTATGCATGTTTCGACCTGAAAGAATCAAAGCCTATGTGTGTCTCAGTGTTCCATATTTTCCGAGAAATCCCAAAGTGAAACCTGTTGATGGCATGCGAGCTCTGTTTGGTGATGACTATTATGTCTGCAGATTTCAGGTTCGTATGTTGATGATAGTTTAATCCTGATTCTTAATCCTGCATAATGATCCAATTTAAATCCATGTGACAGGAACCAGGGAAAATAGAAGATGAATTTGCAAAAGGTACACCAGAACTGCTGCTAAAAAACATGCTTACAACCAGGGATCCTGGGCCACCAATCGTACCCAAAGAGGCCACCGTTCCTAACCCTCAAGATTTAATTTCAAAGCCCCTCCCTTCTTGGCTCTCTCAAGAAGATCTCAATTACTACGCGTCTAAATTCGAAAACACAGGATTCACAGGTGGCCTTAACTACTACAGAAATCTCAACTTGTAAGTCATTTTTTTCTACTGTCCACTAGCAAGGGTCCATTTAACGATATTCGAACATGAGATTTTGAGAGTTTAACATTGACATGCCATTTATATTATTGTGCTCATGTGTGTGTATATTATGTTTACAGAAACTGGGAGCTGACAGCAGCATGGACTGGAGCACAAATTAAGGTACCAGTGAAGTTCATCACAGGTGATTTGGATTTAGTTTATGTTTCAATGGGTACAAAGCAATACATTGAGAGTGGTGGTTTCAAGAAACATGTGCCAAATTTGGAGGAAGTGGTTATACAAGAAGGTGTGGCTCACTTCAACAACCAAGAAGCTGCTGAGGATGTCAACAATCACATTTATGAATTTATCAACAAGTTCTGATCTTATCGACTCAATTCGCAAGCAACTCTTCACTTCTTTGAATAAATAATTTAGCTACAATCTATGCTACATGCTCATTGCTGTAATTCTGTACTTGTAATTTATGAAAACTTTTTATTGTTTGGATATTTTCATTTATAGTGCAAGTTCTGTGATCAATGATCATCATCCAACATTCTCCATCTTTTAGAATTGAAGGGATTTTATGGCATACACAAAAAATTTCTACATTATCTTTAAATCATTGTTGATGCTAATTAAATCATCAACCACATTGTTTTTCTCACTAGTCTTGAATTACTTTTCAACAAAATATGTCAAGTATAAGAATTGTTTGAACCATGATTTTGTTAATGACTTAGGTGAACATATATGTCACAAGATGATGGTAATGATTCGGATATGGACATGGTTGACAAACCTCCAAGTCAATGACAAGAAGTTGAAACAATCGCATAATTCCTTTTTATGGATAGTGGTCAGTTTAAACTTTTTATATGGAATTTTAGAGGTGTTGTTATCAAGGCGTTTATTTGAGTTTGCAAGAATTATATTTGTGAGAGTTAGTCGAATATGTTATTGTTTGTGTTAAAAAGTATAATTCTTGTTCAGTCAAATTGTCGAAAGATATATGGTGTATGTCGAATAGCTAGTCGAATAGGTTGTAAGTTGTATTCAATAGAGTCGAATACAACAGCTATTACAGTATGTCGAAATGTAGAAGTTTTGGGTTATAGCTTGTATATAGTCGAATTAGGAAGGGCTTGTTAGTTTATAATTTTAGACACTTAATGCAATCACAATTCATGTTTATAATTCAGTTAAAATCGTAACAAACTTTCAATCTTTCTCTCTCTCTTTTCTTCTTCTTTTTTCTTCTTCTTCTTCTTCTTCTCTTTGATTAATCATCTTTCTTGAAAATCTTTTGTTTCAAAAAATTGGTATCAGAGCTTGGTTGCGATCCAAAGAGAATCTAATGGCAAACGAAACAACAACGTCAACGCAGTTTCCAACGAATCTACCAGTTTTCAAAGGTGAAAACTATCAGCGGTGGGTTGCGCAGATGAAGGTTATTTTCAGATTTCAAGATGTTGTTGAAATCTTGAATGATGGATTATCAGAACTGGAAGCAAATGTGACGGAAGCTCAGAAAAATGCGCACAAAGATCAAAGGAAGAAAGATGGTAATGTCTTGTTCTTGATTCATCAGTGTGTGGATTCTTATGTATTTGAGAAGATAATTGAAGAAGAAATGGCAAAAGGAATGTGGGACAAGTTAAAGTACTTGTATGGTGGAGATGAGAAATTGAAGAAGGTGAAGTTGAAGACGCTAAGGAAGCAATACGAGATGCTTCAGATGAAAGAAGATGAATCAATTTCTGCATATTTCTCAAGAATTGTGACGCTGACAAACCAGATGAAGGCATGTGGCGAATCAGTTATGAATCTGCAAAAGATTAAAAAAGTGTTAAAATCTTTAACTGTAGATTTTGACTACATTGTAGTAATAATTGAAGAGGCCAAGACTCTATCTGAGATGAAGTTGGAAGAACTTCAAGCTCCATTGGAGGCTCATGAAATGAGGTTGAAGCAGAGAAACTCGGAAAGAGAGAAGGTGACTGAACATGCATTGCAATCAAGATTCAGCAAGAAAGCTGGAAAAGAGAAGTCGAAGCAGCGGCATAATCTTGCTAGTGATGAGAAGTCAAGAAAGAATACTGATTCGATTAAGAAAGGCATGGGAAACAAGTATTCTAGGAAGTTGACACGAAAGAGGTGCAGCGTTACAATTGTCAAGGTTTTGGTTACTATGCTTGAGAATGTCGAAGAAAGAAAGTAGAAAGGGCGAAAGATAGTGATAAAACTCAATATGCACGAGCTTGGGATAATAATTATGATGATGTGTTATTGATGGTGAACACTCAGTCAAATACTGAGTAAAATAACATGTGGTATCTAGATTCAGGATGTAGCAACCACATGACTGACAATAAAAATTGGTTTACCAAGTTAGATGAGTCAGTCGAAAAGGTGATAAAGTTTGCAGATGATAGGCACACCATATTAGGTGGTAAAGGAGATATTTTTATTTTCGGGAAGGATGGTCGAAAGGCCACTATCACTGAAGTGTTGCATGTACCTTCTATGACAAGTAACTTGATAAGTGTAGGTCAATTACTTGTAAAAAGTTTCAATATGAAACTGGAGAAGATCATATGAAGGTATATAGGGATGATAATGAAAGTACCATTGGCAGAACATAAAATGTTCAAAGTTGAACTCAACACATCATATCATATATGTCTTGCTTCAACTACAGAAGAAGACAAGAACTGGCTATGGCACCACATGTATGGACATCTAAACTTCATAAGTTTATGCATGCTCAATCAAAAAAAGATGGTTTTTGGGTTGTCATATGTAAAAGAACCAAAGCATGTATGCGAGGAATACTGTAAAGAAAAACAAGATAGGAAGCCATTCAAACATGATTTGCCCGTGAAATCAAGGCAAAAACTGGAGCTGGTTCATTCTGATGTGTGTGGACCTTTTGAAGTAAAGTCAAATGGAGGAAACAAGTATTTCCTTACTTTCATTGATGAATTAATAAGAAATGTGTGGATTTACCTTATTGAAAGGAAGAGTGAGGTATTCACACAATTCAAGAAGTTCATGTTGCATGCTGAGAAACAAAGTGGATGCAAATTGAAGAAGTTGAGAACTAATGGTGGTGGTGAATATACTTCTGCTGAATTTTCTAGATTTTGAAATGAGGAAGGTATAAAGCATGAGTTTATTGCATCCTATATGCCTCCGCATAATGACATAGCTGAGAGAAAGAATAGAAGTATACTAAACATGACAAGAAATATGTTGAAAGCTAAAGATATGCCTAAGAGATTTTGGGCTGAAGCAGCTTCGACAATAATATACATTCTAAACAGATGTCCAACAAAGAAGATGGTCGAAAGAACACCTTATGAGGCTTGGTCAGGGTCGAAGCCAAATGTGAGTCATCTTAGATTTTTTGGATCAACGTGCTTCATGCATGTACCTGAACAATTGAGAAAGAAAATGGATGATCAAAGTGATATAATGGTGCTCATAGTTATCATTCGACTGGTGCATACAATTTGTATTCACCAAACAAAGATAAACTAGTGATCAGTTGAGATGTTCTTGTGAACGAAAGCAAATGGTGGAATTGGAGTCAAGGTTCAGTTCGACAGGAATAAGATACAGTCACAACTATGTTCAAAGAAGATCAACAGAATGAGGCTTCAACGAGTCGAAATGAACAAGGTGATGCTTCGACCAATCAAAATGAAGAACCACCTGTGCAGAATGAAAGATGGTCGATAAGAACAAGAAATCAGTCGACAAGTCTAGATGGATATGAAAGATTTCCAGATCAAGTAGTTGATGCAGACGGTGATTTAATCGAAGAAGCCATGATGATGGCTGAAGCAGAACTAATTGAGTTGAATGAAGCCATGAGTAATTCGAATTGGTGCGGAGCCATGAAAGAAGAACTCAGAGCTATTGAGAAGAATAAGACCTAGGAGATTATCGAAAGAACTCATAAGAAGCCAATCAATGTAAAGTGGATCTACAAGGTAAAAAGAAGGCCAAATAGTGAGATCACGAAGTCTAAAGCAAGATTGGTGTCGAGAGGTTTTCTACAAAAACCTGGTATTGAATTTGACGAAGTCTATGTGCATGTTCTGAGGCTAGAAATAATCAGAATTAGTTTCGATAGCAGTATATAGAGGATGGAAGATACATCAGTTGGATGTAAATTCAACATTTTTGAATGGTCCATTGGAAGAAGAGGTCTATGTCATCCAATCACCAGGATTCAACATCAAAGGGAATGAGTTGAAGGTTTATAGATTAAGGAAGGCTCTCTATGGTTTGAAACAAGCCCCTAGAGCTTGGAATAAGATAATAGATAACTTTATGATCGAAGAAGGTTTCACAAAGTGTGTCTCTGAACATGGAGTGTTTGTAAATGATATCAACAGTGTCAGTCAAATAATTTTGTATGTCTTTATGTTGATTACTACTCATTACAAGAGCAGACGAAGCTAAGATAATGAAAGTAAAGTCGAAACTAACGCAGGAATTCGAAATATCTGACTTAGGGAATCTCTCATACTTCCTAGGGATGGAATTCAAAGATACTGAAAAAGGAGTATTCTTGCATCAAACGAAATGTGCCCAAGATATATTGAAGAGGTTCAATATGAGCAACTGTAATGCAGTTGTCACTCCATTAGAAACTGTAACCGAGTTGAAAAAGGAAAATGAATGATGAGTTTGTAATTTCGATCTTATACAAACAAATCATTGGATCCTTGAGATATCTTTGCAATACTAGACCTGATATCTGTCAAAGTATCGGATTGTTGATTCGATTTATGGAGAAACCCCAAGATTTTCATCTCATTACGGTAAAGAGGGTGTTAAGATACATAAAGGGAACAATTGATCATGGTGTGTTGTTGCAAAATAAGTCAAAGAACAACACAAATGTCGAAGTTTATGGATACACTGACTCAAATTTCAGTGGAGATCAAGACGAAAAGAAAAGTATTGCTGGCTACATATTCATGAACGAAGGCGCTCCAATCTCTTGGAGTTCAAGGAAGCAAAGCATTATGGCTTTGTCATCATGCGGAGCAGAATATGTAGATGCATCATATACTGCATGCCAAGAAGCATGGATCGAAATGTTACTTGAGGAACTCAAGATAATGGAACCTAAGAATATAAAGTTGTTTGTCAACAACAAGTCAACTATTGACCTGGCGAATCATCCAGTGTGTCATGTTCGAAGTAAGCACATATAAAGAAGGTGTTATTTTCTGAGGGATCAAGTCAACAAAGGGAACTTGGATATAAAGCATTGCAAGACAAAAGTGAAACTAACTGACGTATTTACCAAACCTCTGAAGAAAGTCAGATTCGACGAGTTAAAGAGAAGCATCGTGATAAGAAGTCTCAAGAACATGAATTAAGGGGTGTGTTTGAAATATAATTCTTGTTCAGTCAAATTGTCGAAAGATATATGGTGTATGCCGAATAGCTATTTGAATAGGTTGTAAGCTGTATTCGACAGAGTCGAATACAACAGTTATTGCAGTATGTCAAAATGTAGAAGTTTTGGGCTATAGCTTGTATATATTCGGATTGGGCTTGATCATTGTATGCCTATATAAAGGGCTTGTTAGTTTGTAATTTTAGACACTTAATGCAATCAAAATTCACGTTTACAGTACATTTAAAATTGTAACAAACTTTCAACCTCTCTCTCTCTCTCTCTCTCTCTCTCTCTCTCTCTCTTTTCTTCTTCTTCTCCTTCCCTTTGATTAATCATCTTTCTTGAAAACCCTTTGTTTCAACAGTTTGGAGATTATAGTTAATCCTAAGAA